CCCATGAAGATTCCGGTTAGAATTGGTCTTCAGCAACCCATGATTGTCGTGAAGGAACCGACTAACTGGATCGGGGTGGTTGACTTGCCTGGTCCTTGTACATGTACCCCCAAGTGCGTATATGTATGTTCATGATGTCAGTCACCGGATTGTCTGCCCACACATAAATATTTCCAAATGGCCCAATATAGCTGGAATATTTAGTACGGCGATAAACAAGAAAATACCCCACCAAAACTGAATACCTTATTGAAAAATATCGGCATTGAATGATCAAATCATGAAAATATACCTTAAAATGCGTATTGATTTTGTTGTTTTCTCTTAGTGAGTTGGGTTTTACGCCGCTTTTAGGAATATTCCAGCAATATCACGGCGGGGGACACCAGAAACGGTCTTCACATGTTTTTTGTTAAGTAAGGATAACAATCTATGGATGAACATCTTTCAAAAAGTGAGAGCGACGTTTTGGTGTAGATTCTGACATCGTTATCAAGCAAGTGATGAACAGATTAAGGATTGAGAGGCGTATATACAAGGGGATTGGGGTTGGGGAGGGGGTGAGGAAGTAAACATGGCAATATACGTATACATAATGTGTTTATATCATAACTGTCTAATAATCATACTCACTCACTTACATACCCACTCACAACGAAGCCCATTTCGGGTGTTCCCCGCCGTGATATTGCTGGAAAATTGATAAAGCGGCGTAAAACTCACTCACTCACCAAAAGGTACAAAGTGATTACGTGTATTATCAATGTTTTACTTACATTATTATTTACAATATTTACATACATGGATGACAATATACATATGCATAAAACATTTATATCAGTTCAACTGTCTAATAATCAATTGAAATCACCACATTTCACAACTTTCGAGTGAGTGAGTATGGTTTTACGCCGCTTTATCAATTTTCCAGCAATATCACAGCGGGGGACACCAGAAATGGGCTTCACATATTGTACCCATGTGGGGAATCGAACCCAGGGTCTTCGGCGTGACGAGCCAACGCTTTAACCACTAGGCTACCCCACCGCCCCACACAACTTTCGAGGAACAAACGAACATGCTCTTTCTACGAAGATTTCAAAGAGCGTCATTCGAGGGCTGTTTGATCAGGTTGCAGCATTCACGGCCGTCGTATGCCGGTAGACATGTGGAGGTCATTTTCAATTTTGACGTAAATAATGTCTGTTGCAATTCCGGTTTTTGACTTGAGCCATAACAAGTTACAAATGTTTCCTATTACTTCAGGTTAATTGCCTTGCCTTTGCATGTGTTTAAGAAGTGTGCCACCGGTGGGCCACCTTCTTGCTCACCTTTTATATTTACTTCATAGTGATCTTTTAATGGTGATGCGCCCGAAATCAAAAAGGAATTTCGGAATATAATGACGTTTTAGCATGTTTGATAAATTCATTAATTTCGTGTATAGTGTTTTTTATGAAGCGATATTTTTTATCATTATTTACATGTGAGTGAGAGAGTGAGTGTGATGACGCTTTCAGCGATATCACTCGGGGAACGCCGGAAATTGGGTTCACCGTCAATGTACCCGAGTGGAGAATCGAACTTGGACCTTCGACGTGACGAGCGAACCCTTTAACCAGCACCTACCCAACCTTTTTTAACATGTGTGTTTTGTTAATAAAGATTTGTGATGCAGGTTCATGGGTTCAATACTGACATTTTGGTGTACTAGTTCTATAAACCCCTGAGCAGAACAAAACGAAAATATGTTGTCGTGGTTTTACAATCTTATCAAGGTGGCTGAGTCATGATGGTGTAAACATGTTTAAGCAGATATTGCTGGAATATTGCTAAAAGCGTCGTAAAACCTTACTCACTCACTGCTTTGTTTACTGAAAGGCTACGTGCGTGTATTGTTTATGCTAACTTAACAGCATTCCACCAATATCACGACCAGAGATACTAGAACATGCTTTAACTACTACATTACACCTCCCTCGTGTTGTCTTTTAAGTAGAATATCGATTTCCCCCATTTATCGCTAGCCTTTTTAATCGAATGTGTAACGCCATAGAAAATAATACAAATCCATCTGAAATATCATTATGTCGTGCAGATATCAAACAGTATTTTGTTCAAACAGTTTACATAAAGCAAATGCTATATTCGTCGCACACTACTTTATCCGTCGTACCATTCCATAGACACGGAGACATTTGATATTTATTTACCAGACATATATTCGCAATTGATTTTACACCCTCTCATAGGAAATTCGATATTCTACATCTCTGCGTAATATATTTTTTCTAAATTCAAAAGTACATCCATTGCCAACGTTCACTTTCACAGAATAAATATGTGGGCAGGGTCGGGAAAATAAGTTGGCAATAAGATGTTAAAAACCGTTAAGTGGTGATGATGTTTATGCTGTTTAGTTAGTGTTCTCATAAGTAGTGGGGGTGTGTGTGGGGGGGATGGGGGTGGGTTTTTTTGTAGCCTAGTGGTTAAAGTGTTGGATCGTCACGCTGATGACCCGGGTTCGATTCCCCACATGGGCACAATGTGTGAAGCCCATTTCTGGTGTCCCCCGCCGTGATATTGCTGGAATATTGCTAAAAGCGGCGTAAAACTAAACTCAGTCAGTCAGTCAGTCATAAGTAGGACATCATGGGTGAAACAACAGCCTATTAACTCGCTTCTCGATTCGCTGACTGACTGACTGACTCACTCACACCGCGTCACACATTCACCTTCAGTTGATAAACTCGCCGATTTCCTCATTTAAATATCCACTTTCAACGAGTCACATAAACACGCACCCATCAAACTGTACTTACCTATTCACCAACTATCTCATTCATCGGCTCACCAACCGACTCACCTATCACCTTACCTAAAGTCTCACCAGCCTATTCACCCATCATCTCACCTTTCGAATCGCTCATACAGTATTCATCAACCTATTCACCATCTGATTCACCCAGAGACTCACACAATGAGATAACCACAACTCGTACATTGTTTCACCCTCATTCACCGAGACACCAATTGTAACACCCACTGAAACTCATATACCGACTTTCACACAAGGCCAACCCACGAATAACGCTACAGTCTCATCCATCGCTCCGCCTACAGACTCACCCACCTCACCCATTTTACTTGTTCAACAACCCGTGAAGATCCGGGTTAGAATTGATCTTCAATAACCCATGCTTGTCGTAAGAGGCGACTAACGGTACTGGCTGGTCAGGCTCGCGGACTTGCTTGACACCGTCTTCGTATCCCAGTTGTTGACATCAGTGCTCATGCTGTTGATCACTGGACTGTCTGGTCCAGACTCGATTATTTACAAACCACCGCCATATAGCTGGAATATTGCTTAGCGCGGCGTAATTCAACAAAACCTGATGTATTTTGAGCACACGAACGCCATTCTTCTACGGAAAAACTATGTTATGCATATGGTCATTCCCTGTTAGAGGAGATGTACACAGATAAGACAAATCAACCAATAATACCATGTAGTGCAACAGTATGGTTCTCTTTGTTCCCGGGGCGGTGGGTAGCCTAGTATCGTTCGCTCCACGCCGAAGACCCGGGTTCGAATCCCCATCAGTATTGACCCATTTCTGGTCTCCCCGCCGTGATGTTGCTGGAATATTGCTAAAAGCGGCGTAAAACCAAACTCAGTTCAGTCTCTTGTTGCCTTTTCTCACGAGCTTACATCAGTACCGTGAAGGTCCGATTGGGTGATCTTCAGCGACTCATTCTAGTCGAGGTTGGGTGGTCAGGCTCTCATGGTTGACATCGTCATCGTATCCCAACTCGATGCTCATACTGTTGACCACTGGATTGTCTGGTCCAGACTCGATTATTTACAGACTGCCGCCATATAGCTGGAATATTGCTGTGCATCGTTAAATGACAAACAATCAAACATTATATCAGTATCTTCATTAGCGGGGTAGAGCTGAAAACACATTACACTCGTGTAATACTATTGGCCAGACAAAAAGGTGGTATCTGTCGATACGTCATGACTGAGGAACCCGTAAAGAATTGGTCTTCAGCAACCAATGCTTGCCCAGTCTGAGTAAACTTAGGGTCTTCAGAAACCAATGCTTGCAGTATTATTCGTTACACTGCTATACTGAGTCCAACAAAACCTAGTAGAAGGTTGCGTCAGCTATAGTCTGTTTGCAGTGAAAACGTACCGATGAATTTCACTCTAAACGAAAAGGTAAATCGAATATAGTGAAATGAAGATTGCGTATCCTCATAATTTTACCTTGCCAACTGAACATTCAAATCTCAGAATTTTATTCAACTTAGGATAAAAGTTGTTTAACAAACGATCATAGTTTCAAATCGGTATTATTGGTTTGTATTTGTAACAAAAATCCGCATAAAACACAGATATTTGACCTGCAGTTTATACGTTTATTGGTTTCTAAAGACATGGTTACCATTTGCTTATATTTTAGCAAGATGACATCCTTGAATATTGACAAAAACGCTATTTTCAGCGACTGTTTACTTATTGCGTGCATCACTCGGAAGCGATCGCGCGGAAAATAGCATTCGGAATCGTTCGAGTTTTTTAGGTAAAGGTTTATACGGTATGTGCGAATGTTAACTTTCGCGATTTGGTAAGCTGTGTTCTGACTGGTCGGTCTAAAAGGTTAGCTGACGCAATCTTCTACTAGGTTTTGTTAGACTCAGTATAGCAGTGTAACGAATAATACTGAGCCTAAGGTTACTTAGACTGAATGCTTGCCCTAAGAGTCGGCATCGGGTGGTCAGGCTCGCCGACTTAGTTGATCGATGCTCATGATGTTGATCACTGGATTGTCTGGTCCAGACTGGATTATTTACCGACCGCCGCCATATAGACGAAATACTGCTAGGTGCGGCGTTAAACAACAAACACAATATGATTAAGGGAAATTATAGATTACTTTTTTTAACTTTTACTCAGTAACATTTTCTTCAAAAATATTTAAACAAGTGAATTATATATCTAGAATTTTATTGTTGTATTACACGATTTAACATAAATGAACAATATATACAACTTGACAGATGACACAGAGACTAATAACAGTCTGATTTTAAATCCTATACTAAAAATAAGAGTCTGATTACAAATCCTCATTGACGGTTGTCGCTTTGACTGGTGCGTGGGAGGTCATCGATATTATTAATGTTTTCTCACTCTTCTGCAATAGTTCCGGCCCCAAACATCTCCAGGAGGTTACGATGAAGTCTGAAAACAAGATAGTAATTAATCAACGAGGCAATTCGTTAAAACTTAAACAGATTTCTTCAGGGCGATCAATACATTTCGGGTGGTCGGGGGGGGATGGGGTTGCCTAGTGGTTAAAGGATTCGTTCTCCACGCTGAAGACCCGTGATTCACCACTTTGATGCAATGTGGTAGACCCATTTCTGGTGTCCCCCGCCGTGGTATTTCTGGAATATTGCTAAAAGCAGCGTAACACTTAACTAACACACTCACATTAGTTGAACTTTAAACTTTAAACTTGGTTTTAACCCGTGAAGATCATCCGGGTTAGAATTGGTCTTCAGTAACCCATGCTTGTCAAAGGGGGGACTAACGGGATCGGGTGGTCAAGCTCGCTGACTTGGTTGACACAACTTGAAGTCATCGAAGTTATCCCGATTGCGTAAATCGATGTTCATGATGATAATCACTGGATTGTCTGGTCCAGACTCGATTATTTACAGACCGCGGGAATATTGCTGAGTACGGCTTTAACAACCAACCAATCAACCAAGTGAACATAGGCAAGTCTAGATCCAACGAAATCAAGTCTAGTTTCTTTGATATGAGAACAACTGAGGCGGAAAGTCCTTGACTACAGTTTTCACAGCCAAACGTTAGTCTACACCAAAACGAAAAGCATCAATTTTTATAGATAGACCACTTCGATAGATGCGACTTTTCGGTGTAGAGGCTAACACCGTTATCAAGCAGTTGCTTCACGTTTCGGTGTAGAGGCTAACACCGTTATCAAGCAGTTGCTTCACGTTTCGGTGTAGAGGCTAACACTGTTATCAAGCGCTTGCTTCACGTTTCGGTGTAGATGCTAAAAGCGTTATGAAACACTTGCTTCACGTTTCGGTGTAGATGCTAACACCTTTATCAAACACTTGCTTCACGTTTCGGTATAGATGCTAACACCGTTATCAAGCATATGCAACACACAGCCTCGTGTGTGGGGTGGGGGTTGGGTGTAGCCTAGCGGTTAAAGCGTATTACTGGAATATTGCTTAAGGTTGAAAACTAAACACACTCAGTCAAAACCTCGTGAACTGGGCTGTGCATCCAACCGGTATGTAACACAAGACGTTAAAACATGACACTCATACCAACCACAGACCACTGAGACACACCCTGCCGTGTGACCTGGCCTGTACATCCTACACAACCACTCTTACACTTAGGAATGATATAGTGAGTTGGGTTTGGGGAATATCTGGCAACATTCCAGCAACATCACGGCAGGGGACACTAGAAATGGTCATCACACAGTATAATAATGTGGAGAATCGGACCCAGGTCTTCAGCGTGACGAGTGAACGCTTTAACCACTAGGCTACCCCGCCGCCCCCATATAGCTGTAATATTACTGACTGCGGCGAACGTTACCCAGTGTTTAAGGCGGTTGTAATTTGAAGTAATAGAGCAACACGGGAGTGAGTGAGTGACTTGAGTTTTACGCCGCTTTTAGCAATATTCCAGCAATATCACGGCAGGGGATACCAGAAATAAGCTTCACACATTGTATCCATGTGGGGAATCGAACCTGGGTCTTCGGCGTGACGAGCGAACGCTTTAACCACTAGACTGACTGACTGACTGACTCACTCACTCACTGACTCCGTGCCCTCAACAAAAAAATAAAGTGACAAGCACTGCTCTCACTTGACAGTAATGTCCAGATCGCCTGATTCTACTTTATGTAGTTCGCCATCAAGGCTCACGGTCCTCTCCAGACGCTTTTCTCGCTCAGTTGCTCCTTCTGTCGGAAGTACCCGTAGTCGGAACGACTTAACCTGTAACGTCGTTACGAAGTCGTAGCTGAACTGAAAATAATAATAATAATAACAAAGACGAAGATTATAATAATAAGTGATTATCTTCACACAGAGAATTTCTAAATCATACTGACATATACTACTGCACGTTTGAAAGGGGTATTAATTATAATATATATTTATATTGATACATTAAATATTAAGCTGTCTCTCACAACCAGGGGGATAATCGGCTACTCACGGTGTCCGTATGCAGCTGAGTCAACTTGTTCATGTAGGAGAGGAACGTCAACCTCCCACACTGCTTTTCCATCAACAACGTCATCGCCTCCGCATTGACGTCAAAAACGCACTTCGGCGTATTCTTCTGAGGGCGCACTAAAGTAGGGAAGCTCATTAATCCGGTATAACGCCCCTCTATCGTCTTCCAAACTGGTTCTAGGAAAAAGTAAAAATACTTTTCATCTACATAGACGAATATATTTCATTGTGGTGGGGTAACCTAATGGTTAAAGCGCTCGCTCGTCACGCTGAACGCCCGGGTTCGATTTCCCAAATGGGTACAATATGTGAAACCCATTTCTGTTGTCCAGTGCCATGATATTGCTGGAATATTGCTAACACCTCACTCACTCACTCACTCACTCAGTGAAATGAGCGCTTCTGATCGTTAGCGGAATGGGTTGATGAAGATCAATCCTAAGCCGGATCTTCACAGACCACGACTACATGTAGACTATATACTACTCCCCTTTGGACAGGGATATATCTGTCCACGATGGTTATTATTTACATACTTACAACTGTACGAAAAGAGAGCGTGAGACTATACACATAATCATAATAACATACCTGTTTCTGCGTTGCTTTTGTCAACATCACCTCCGTCTCTGAAAGAGTTAAATGCTCACAAATAAGCTAAGCAGCAATGACATGTTTGTGTTGGTATTTCCATGTGAATGTATACAGGTATACCTTCTAACCACTACTCATGCGGTTAGTCGAATTTGAAAATAGGATAGGGCGTAAAATTGTCACAAGCTATGGTTGGGGAAAATTTATTTACGAATTTATCAATTTTAAAATTGTCCTTAGAACTGACTAATACTTTCAATAATTGCAAAAGATATTCAATTACAATAACATCATGCTGAGGTGTCTTGGTGCAGAACCGTGGTGTCGGTTTAAACCTTCCGCTAAAGAGCATGGGATGGTAGTCATTGTAACCATCGTGTCTTTGCGAGGACTGACAGTACAATAAATCATGCACTGTGAAACATTTCGAGTCGCGGGTCATCTCATCTCATCCCAAAGACACGAGGGCCTCTGATTGTAACGTGCATTGAGGACATGGCAGCATGATGACGTAACTAGGTCTGTTTAATCCCGTAAACCGGAAGTCGTACAAAGCCAATGTCGTAATCGACTATACGTTACATTCATTCTGTTTTATTTCATCGACATAAAGGGTGTTTCTCACCTATTCTCACGAAATATGCACCATTTGTAATTTTATGTGTCTCCGCATAAAAAAACACACTTTTTGATTGGTCTCACCTGTTCATTTCATGTTTATATTAGACGACAGGCTTGGTAGGTATCCGAGACATAGAAATTGTTAATGATCTGTTATTTATATATATGTGTGACTCAGGGAAAAAAGGTAGACTAAGCCAAAATCACCAAAATGTGCATGTCTGCAATGTTAGTATAACGTTTTGAGTGAATATTTCAAAGTAACTATTCATCTAGTGTGAACAAAACAGATTATATTTTCGACATAAGGTATTGTCCCTTTCGTCAATACCCAGAACATATCTTTATGTGGTTAATTTTTTTAGAATGTTTGATAAATATGGTGTCTCCATAAAAGTGTAATCCACGTTACCTCATGAAAATGACCATATATTTTTATTATGTGTATTTATTAGATAGTATACCTTATATACAGTTTCACATTCTGACAATACAATATCAACCCCATAGCTACTAAATTTCAGCCGATTTCTGACCATGATACTTCACATGTGTAAATATGAAGAGATCTTTTTAGGATGTAATCTACGTGACCATCATAAGATAAAAACTGTACACCCAGTGTCACCAAAGGGTTTTTAAAATGAATGGACCTATTCAGTAGTAATAGCTAAGTGAAGGAGGTGTTCTTCTATGACACTTTAAACGTTTGGTGGGTGCTAAAGGACGTGTGTGTAATCTACGTGATGTAATCTACGTGACTCATTCCCAAAGGAGCATAATTGTTTTCGCGACTACTGCTCAGGTAAGACGGTTTTATGGGTCTAAAGTTATGGCATGAAATCTTCTAAACATTAAATGAGTGTTTACTTTTAATTGGCTTATCATTGTTGATATTCTACATCAAATTAAATAGGTAACGTGATTACAGTTTGGATGAATGTGCTTCTGTACAGTGCTTCTGTACGGTCTGTACTTTAAATAATGTATGAAACAAATAAACTGTTAATCACTTTTGCATCTTTTAATGTAACTCTGTGTAATAGTATAGAAACAGTTCATCAGGAATTTTTCTAAATTTCTATATACATATATGTAGATATGGCAGTGTTACGGTAACGTAGATTACAAGATTTGTATTCAAGATGTATAATGGCCAAGTTTTGTTGTTTATCCAAATATAATACTGATAACTTATGTGAAATATATTTCCAAAAACACGTATGTATAGTAAGTTTGATGAACATTTTATGCAAATTAGTTTACGTTCATTTAAGTAACGTAGATTACAAAGTTATGATCTACAGCGGCATTATTCATATAAATATTCTCTGTGACTTACTTACCACAACTAGTTCTAAGTAAAGCATTGGTATCTGTCGTCAAAAGGACCATGTCACAATTTGCTTCAAGTTATTTTGGGGGTTTCTGTTCTGCAGTTGATGTTATACTGATGGTGTCACGTGGAAGTGGAAATTGGGTACCCAATCATGATTGCCGATCTTCGTTTTCTCCTTGAGTTCTGACTTTTGATAGTTTGAATTTTGTGAACAATAAATGTTGTTCTAACAATAAAATGACATGTCATTTAAAAAAACAAAAGAACTTTAATTGTTTACCAGTTCCAGTTATCTGTTGGTGCACATGTCGTGAGAATGGGTGTTTCTACGCACATATGTACACCATGGTGGAGTAAATATAACTCACGTGGGTGGGTCATAGGGCAAGTAATCGATTCGAATATTGAACTCGCTTCGAGACCTCAGAAATGTTACAAGCCCTGCAACTGAAACACAAAACAAACAAAAATTGTGGGATGGCATTGTGGTCAAACTATAGGCTAGTCACCGGGAAATCTCCGCGATTGATTCCACGAACAGTACATGATGGTCATTCTTTGTGATACTGTAATGCTGATAAAATACAAACGTTCTGGGAGAATGTACAACAAAATGGAGAGTATTCTCAGTAAGATACCGAACAGAAAAAAGTAAGGAATCATGAAAATTTTAAAAACTAGAGAAAACTTACAGAGGAATCAGAGCCAAGCCTACCGTGTCTCTTCGAAGTATGCCAAAAGGCATACTCATCATCATCAACAACAACAACAACAACAACAACAACAACAACAATACCATCATCACTATCATGTTATACAGATTAAAAATAGTTTGCAAGCAGAGAGGGTTCGGGTGATCCTGGCACACTCAAGTTGGTGGTAAGGCTCATCATCAGCTCAGGGCCCTTGTCCCCTCTACACGCAGCCCAGACAGCGAATGGGACTTCTCGCGGAAACGCTACCAAGTCGAACCCACCACTTTCCTGAGAATATGTAGACTCCCCAACACCTCAGCCATCTGCATTAATCAGAGCGCGAGAAGGGCTGTGCTCCCGGTCGGGAACCCGGGCATTCTCCTGAGAATATGTAAACTCCCCAACACCTCTGCCTTCTGCATTACCCAGAGTGTGAGAAGGATGTGCTCCCGGTGGAGAATCCGGGCACTCTCCTGATCTGCGCCAAAAAACTTACGGGTATATCGGAACCAACCCAACCGTCTGTCTTCGATGACGCCCATGATGTCACTCCAAAAGCCGTGGCCAAGGATCACCTCCCAAAAACCCAGATGTTTGCCACCTTGACTGATGCTGGCAATGTTCTTGAAGGTCCTACATCCTAAGACAACAAATAAGGCTAGAGTTAATCAAAGAACTCGTTATTTGTTGGTAAATCTGAATGATCCATGAAACAAGGTGGTTGGAAAAAGTCGGAGTTTAGTGAGTTTAGCTTTACGCCGCTTTTAGCAATATTCCAGCAATATCACGGCGGGGGACACCAGAAATGGGCTTTACACATCGTACCCATGTGTGGAATCGAACCCGGGTCTTCGGCGATGACAAGCGAACCCTTTAACCACTCGTCTACCTCACCGTCCCAAACACGTCATGTCATACCTGTAATGATGTAGAGAGCTGCAGTTTCTATGTCGCCATTTCCGCAGAGTTCGTTCGCATTGCCATTTGATGATCCTGGGGTACGAATAACGAGATGAGACAATAATTACTAGATTATAGACATCTGGATTAGTCGAGTTAATTGTGTGGTTTAGTTTCTTTGTTTGTTGTTTAACGCCGCCTGCAATATTCCAGTATATGACGGCGGTCTGTATAATCGAGTCAGGACCACACAATCCAGTGATTGAAATCATGAGCATCGATCCATGCAATTGGGACACGACGTGCATTAACCACTTCAGCAAGCCTGACCACCTAATCCCATTAGTCGCCTCTGATGATAAGCATGGATTGCTGAAGACCAATTCTAACACGGATTTTCAAGGGTTGAGGCCCAAGAAACCCATAATGCTGGGTGACGCGGCTGACTACATATTGGAGCCAGGCGGCTTTGGTCGATGCTGACATAAATCACTGGTTTGTTTGGTCCAAACTTAAGTGTTTACAGGCGGGAATATGTTGAGTGCCGAGTGATCTGGATATTCCCTTACAGTCATGGAGATTAATCTTATTGTATGAAATCGGAATATAAACGAGTGAGTGAGTGAGTTTAACGCCGCACTCAGCAATATTCAAGCTATATGGCGGTCTGTAAATAATCGAGTCTGGACCAGATAATCCAGTGATCGAAAGCATGAGCATCGATCTACGCAATTTGGATACGATGACATGTGTCAACTAGTGGTGTTCCGATTAATTGAAATAATCGAAGATTGATCGCAGTGACCAAACGACCAAGCAATCGATCACATTTTCTCATAATCGAACATAAACGATTTTGGAACTACTATTTTAGTCTTTGAAATTTCAACCAATTCCCAACACTAGTGTCAAACAAGTCAGCGAGCCTGACCACCCGATCCCGTTAGTCGCCTCTTACGACAGCATGGGTTACTGAAGATCAATTCTAACCCGGACCTTCACGGGTTGCAATATACATGAGTGAGCAAGGTGGGTTTAACAGATTCATGTTATATCATGGCGTGTTAGCCAGAAGCACGAACATCTCAGGTCTCAGACGTGTCACTTTGGTGACACCCACGATAACGGCCATGGTGCTGACAATCGTATCAACATATTTGGGGCAAACTAGGATTCGAACCCAGTCATAGGTTTCTGGTGTGCCTTAGGGATGCAACTCTGCACAACGATTTTGACAAGTGGGCCACCCGTGCCCTAACAGATAATTGAAAGAAAAGGGTAGATTTTCTAAATGCGCCGCCCTGTGTTTACCTTTGGTTGATTAAAGTAACACACCATTTTCGCCCTGAATAAGAAAGGAAAGTTGATCTCGGGGTTACCTGTGGGTATCATTCCTACTGGAAATGGTAATGCCTTCAAGTCGGCTTCCTTCTGTATCCTTGGCAACAGAGTGTGTAGTAGTTTCTGGAGAGTGCCATCTCCACCAGCGACAACCACTCTGTTAAGACAATGTGCTGATGTTATTCGGTGCAAAGACATTTAAACCCCGTTAATCTGGACGGGTTGGTCTGTAGACATACAAATCAATGAAGGAGCTTCACATTTGGCGGAACCTCTTTAATATGTATCTCCGCTTACCCTGTGACCTTTGAGAAGTCGAACGTGTTCCCCAACTCTTCTGGGTGTGATGGGCTTTGAGACACTGAAATAAGGAAAAACTGTTCACATCTTCACCAATTCAAAATATTTACATTGATGTAATGTCATCCTTTAAAACTACTTGCGACACCAGTAAATACTTTCCAGATGAGAAACTTTACCCAACACTTTACCCATATAACCTACACTGAGAGATTGCAGATAGATAGATAGATACTCAGCAATATTCCAGGTATAAGTCGGCCGTGAAAACTATAGTTATAACGGACTTTCCGCCTCGGCTGTTCTCATATCAAGGAAACTAGACTTGATCTAGACTTGCTTATGTTCAGTAAATATATCCCACAGTCAATGTGGAGGATTACAGCAAGGCCATACATGACGACCCCATGTATCGCCCACTGTTGTAATATATTGAGCGAAATATACCAAGTTGGTTGGTTTGTTGTTTAACGCCGCACTCAGCAACATTCCAGCTTTATGGCGGCGGTCTGTAAATAATCGAGTCTGGATCAGACAATCCAGCGATCAACAGAATGAGCATCGATCTACATAACTGGGATGCGATGACATTTGTCAACCAAGTCAGTGAGCCTGACAACCCGATCCCGTTAGTCGCCTCTTTCGACAAGCATGGGTTACTGAAGATCAATTCTACCACGTTTACATAGTGTCCGTGTCGGTATGAAGCTCGGCATTTAGTGGTTAAAACAGTGAGAGAGTCAGTATACTGACGTGCATCTATATTTAACTTCAGTTCAGAGGTTTAGCATCACCAATTCAGCATACCGCTCTAGTTTATGTCAATGTCGGAATCTACGAGTCAGTCTATATTCTACATCAATTATTCTTTTTCTGTGTCTCCCCGACCCTAGGTCTCTGTTGCCATGACGCACACACATACACGCACGCACGCACACACAAACACAATCGTCAACCTATGACTTCTGTGTCGATCTGGGCCAACCGGAACAAAGGGGCGACAACTCTTCTGTACTGGGCTTCTCCCTGTCCACTTCCTCCGACAGGATTTATCAACACCAGCAGGCGGGAGGGTCGATCTACAAGACAAGAGTGAGTAATTGAGTTCAGTTTTACGCCGCTTTTAGCAATATTCCATCAATATCACGGCGGAGACACCAGAAATGGGCTTTACTACAAGAAAAGAGACGAAATGTGAATAGGTGAGCTTTCTTTCTTTCGGGTTTAAGAGTATTTCAGAAACTATCACAGCGTTTTCGCTTGATGAGGAGGACAGCCCGTGGTAATCCTGTTTTTTTTGTTTACCGCCTTCTTGAAACCAATGAGCACGGGCAAATGTGGAAACGGAAATCCGGAACCAGCCCGAAAGTGTCTCCCCCAAGTGAGAGTCCACCCAGAGACCACCCCCGTACTCCACTTTGTCTGATGACCAGTTCTTGAAGAACCTACACCCTCAGACATCAGTTAACGTGGTAATTAAAACGCGAGGGTGAGTGAGTTTAGTTTTACGTCGCTTTTAGCAATATTCCAGCAATATCAGGCGGGGGACACCAGAAATGGGCTTCACACATTGTACCCATGTGGGGAGTCGAACCCGGGACCTGTGCGTGATGAGCGGACGCTTTGATCACTAGTCTAGGCTCCCCCCACCACGAGCGAAGGTTGTCGAGGAGCACAAGTGACCTAACACCGTCATTTGCCGTGTAGAGTTTCTTCTCTGGGACGTGCCAGAAACCTATGCTCGATGTATGGCGTAGAGTCAATGCGGAATAACGACTTACCGCTCTCAACATCATTACAGGTATGCATTGACATCTTGATATCACAGCCTACCTCTGTGTTCGGACCGCCTTGTTGCTCATTCAGATTTACTAACACATAATGAGTTCTTCTTTTAATTACTGGGGCGGCGGGAGTAGCCTAGTGGTTAAAGCGTCCCGCGTTACGCAAAAGACCCCGGTTCGATTTCCCACATTGGTACAATGTGTGAAGCCCAATTCTGGTGTCGCTAAAAGCGGCGTAAAACTAAACTTACTCACCATGAAATCGAGCTTTATATACTACCCAAAAGATAACTGTTAAAGAATACCAGATTCTTTCATGTTACTATAGTAAATCCGTGCTCGCCTGACAGATAAAATTTAATAATAAGAATGACTGGTTGTTCTTTAACTTCTTTTGAGTAGCATGTTACCAAGGATACGTTAAGCAGTGTAGATATGACTGGACAGAACCATGTGACTCGGATCACATAAAGACAACAGCTGAGCAGTATCAACGCTGGAGTAAGTTCTCGTCTACCTTTCTTGGATTTCTCCTGTACAGTACTTAAAATGTCTTCAAAATGACTCCCGCTGCTGAGGAACGTCTTGTGTTTGTGTCTCCAGACACGGTTTGCCTGTTTGTCGATATAATGCAAGGTGAAGCCTTTGTTGTTGTCAAGGTCGCCGGTGATCTCTGTTGGTGTTTTGGGTGACACCTGTCCCCGATGACAGGTGATGACGTCAGTCCAAGGGAGGGTAACTGTGGAGAGAGATGAATAGTGCATTAATGTTTCTTGTGTCACATGTATATTGACATGAACAGTGCATTAACGTCTCTTCTGTCACCTGTATATTGACATGAACAGTGCATTAACGTCTCTTGTGTCACCTGTATATCAACATGAACAGTGCATTAACGTCTGTTGTGTCACCTGTATATTGACATGAACAGTGCATTAACGTCTGTTGTGTCACCTGTATATCAACATGAACAGTGCATTAACGTCTCTTGTGTCACCTGTATATCGACACATGAACAGTGCATTAACGTCTCTTGTGTCACCTGTATATCAACATGAACAGTGCATTAACGTCTCTTGTGTCACCTGTATATCAACATGAACAGTGCATTAACGTCTCTTGTGTCACCTGTATATCAACAAGAACAGTGCATTAACGTCTCTTGTGTCACCTGTATATCAACATGAACAGTGCATTAACGTCTCTTGTGTCACCTGTATATCAACAAGAACAGTGCATTAACGTCTCTTGTGTCACCTGTATATCAGACATTAAGAACAGTGCATTAACGTCTCTTGTGTCACCTGTATATCGACATGAACAGTGCATTAACGTCTCTTGTGTCACCTGTATATCGTCACGAACAGTGCATTAACGTCTCTTGTGTCACCTGTATATCAACAGCTACAGTGCATTAACGTCTGTTGTGTCACCTGTATATCAACATGAACAGTGCATTAACGTCTGTTGTGTCACCTGTATATCAACATGAACAGTGCATTAACGTCTGTTGTGTCACCTGTATATCAACATGAACAGTGCATTAACGTCTGTTGTGTCACCTGTTTATCGACATGAATTAACGTCTGTTGTGTCACCTGTATATCGACATGAACAGTGCATTAACGTCTGTTGTGTCACCTGTATATCGACAGGAACATTGTTAACGTCTGTTGTGTCACCTGTATATCGACAGGAACATTGTTAACGTCTGTTGTGTCACCTGTATATTGACAAGAACAGTGCTTCAATTAACCTCCAAATGTCGCCATGAGTAGTGCTGTGGTCTCTCTTATGTCAACGTGTAACTTGATATACAAAAACATGTATGTAACCTGCTGTTGGATTCGTATGAACGTGTAATGTGTTGTTTGTTGGATATACACTTGTAACACGCAAATGGATGTAAAGAAACAGGATTGTAAGTTTGGTGTACAAAATAAAGTGCTGTTGGACTGATTGAACATGCGTCAGGTCGTAGGACTGGTATATAGATGTAAGAATGAGTAGAATGAGCGAGTTTAGGTTTACACCGATTTTAGCAATATACTAGCAATATCACGACGAGGTACACAAGAAATGGGCTTCACACATTGTACTCAGCGTTACAAGCGAATGCTTTAACCACAAGTCTACCCCATTGCCCCTACAATGTAAGAATGCTGCTAGTTGGATAATATACATGTATGTTTCTGTAAGATTGAAATACAACTGTAACAAACATGTAAGACATGTTGGTGTGGTATGGATTTGTAATATGCTGCTGGGTTGGTATAAGAAAGGTATGACACTTAATGGATAACAACTTCTTCATTGTATCGTCAAGTCACACAAGTTCGATCGTCGTGTAACTTCGATCGCCCATTTTGAATGGTAATTGTCGCAATACGTAGCGATAACTGCAGCTTTGATCTTCTGGTGACACCACTTTCATTCGTTTGGACCGGAAAATGTTTCGTGTCAAGTTACCAAATGTAAGTTATAGCTCATTTTCAGCAAACAACTACTTTTTAACACTAGATCAATAATGTAACTTTATCAGCTCAAATAAAATGTAAACAGTATAATTTCACACGTTGTAAATTGACAGCACCCATGTCTTCTGTTTGTTTACGTTGCTGGTCTAATTGTCACATGTCCAGACACGTGATATCCTTGTCAAAATTTAAAACTTTGGAAACAAGTAAGGGCCATTTCTTATAGAAAACTTCATGCTTTTTGAGAATTTCCGTGAATTTGTACCTGATGAAGTTCGAGCTATTGCCTCATTGACAAATACAACCTTGGCACAATGTACCCACCCTACATGTCAGCACAGAACACATTTACGTTTCTGCAAGCCAGTTCGTGGTGTTTGTCTACATTCTGAGGTTTGATGCCCGTCACGATGTGCCTGAAGAATAATTCCCTGCATAATACTTGTATATAAGCTGAATATTTGTGACTTTTCATCGTTTTTAGAAGTATTGAAACATAAAATGAACGTTTCATGGACAT